AGTCTTTCAGTCGCTGAATTGGATGTTTTGAATGAAATTGCAGCTTTGCAGCTCTGTTTGAGTAGCGATTTGGACGGACTTTCTTCTTATCTACTTAAAGTGGGCAGCTCGTCTAATACCGCTCCCTTAAACCAAAGTTTTAATCTTTCGTTGTCGTATGGTCTTTTCATTAATCATTGGAAAATTGCTTCTATCTAACCGTTGTTTAAATCTGGTAACAAAGATGACGTGAAAAATTATCGACCTATATCTAAATTATTAACGACTTGCTCAAAACTTTTCGAGAAAGTGCTAAAGGATTAATTGTTTGTTGCAGTTAAAGTCCCATTAGACCGCATCAGCATGGTTTTATCAGCGATCGTTCTACTGTCTCTAACCTAGCCTGTGTTTCTTGTTATTGCATTGCAACTTTTAAAAAGGGATATCAAGTTGATGTCGTTCATACCGATTTTTCCAAAACCTTTGATACTGTCCCACATAGCATTTTATTACTTAAGCCAGAGTGCCTAGGTTTTCACTCTTCGCTTCCATCTTGGCTTAGATCATATCTCTCCAATTGATACTATTTTGTTTATTTGAATAATACGAGATCTTTTTTTGACTTTGAGGCCGCCTCCATTATTATTTCTTCAAATTTATAAATGACATTGGAACTTGCTTTGTGCAGACGAATTAAAACTATTTAAATGCATTCGATGTTTTTCCGATGCTTTACTTTTACAGGAGGATCCTAGCAATTTAGCCGATTGGAACATTCGGAATAATTTTCTCCTTAATATAAATAAATGTTTTAACATTATTTTTTCAAAATGCTCAAATGTACTCAGGTCGACTTATTATGTATTTGATAATAAGCTGTCTTTTGTAAATGAATATTTGGACCTTGGTGTGTTGTTTGATGTGGGATTTACCTTCATTAATTACATCAACTGCATCATTTCTAAAGCTTATTCCAACCGTGCTTTTTTACAGCGATTTGGTGGTGATTTCAAATATCCTTACACGCGTAAAATTTTATATAACGCTTTGGTTTGTTCAAAGCATTCCTCTAGACGTGGAATCGTCCAACGTAAGTTTATTCGTTTCGCTCTAGTTCCGCTTCATTTCTCTGATCGCCTACCTTCTTATACTTCCCGATGTATGCTAATAAATCCGAAATCTCTTGCTCTTCGACGATCTATTCAGTCATTACTAAATATTTATATATGACAACATTAAGCCAATGATGTGGATTTGCAGCAAATCAGCTTTAATGTTCCCCCTAGAACTTTGCGATCTGATTGGCCTATCTTTGGCCAACAGGAGCGGAATAGTGTTTCGTCAAGACAACACGTGGCCACACACAATCATTTTGTGACTCGTCAGAAGCTTTGAGAGCTCGGTTGGGAGGTTATTATACATCAACCTCATAGTCCGGACCTCGCACCTTTCCTTTCCTGGTCTGTGGCGAATATTCCTGGTGCGACCAGCACCCAAAATTTTAAAAAATTAATTTTTCTAATAGCGGTCGCTCCTCGGCGGGGAATGTCATGTACTCCCTAGTGTGGCATGAAATAAACCGTCAGTCGTTCGCAAGCGGTTGGGAATAAAATGTAGGTTTCTTGATTTCATTTCCTTGAAGAACATCACGAAGCACACTACAAGTTGGAGGAGGAGTTCAATCGGAAATGATTTCAGCGGCTGCAAATGCCAATTTTTTATGTATAAACATATAATATTTTTAATTTTACTAGTAAAACTCTAGACAAGCTTTCTAAAGTGTCTTCACTATGCATGATAAGATGAGGCTTCTAATTTGTTTATTTTATTGATTTGAATAAACATAGAAAAGTATGACAATGTTAAGGAACAAAAATCTATGAATAAACTAATTATGCATTCAATAAACCAATAGACTGATAAGAGCGCACACATAACAACAGTGGCGACCATTCATCGGACTACCCATTCTTTACTTAGAAAGTCAACTAATTGAAGTAAGTGAACAATACTCAAATTAAAAAAAAAATTAGTAACGATTCGAAGAAAAAAATTGTTGTATTTTTAAACAAACAAAACAAATATGGAGCTCAGAGGCACATTTATATGTAGAGAGAAAAATAAAAAAGCTCAGAGAGAAACCGTAAGCGAGTAAGTACAGCCAGTTGAGTGATCTGATCTGACGATCGTCAAGAGAGTTAAAATACTGAGTACTGAGCATAAACCCACAGGGAACCAAAACAATGAACTAAGTAGATATGAGTAGGTATTCAAAAAAAAAAAAAAGAGAGAGAGAGTGTCACCAAAAGTCGCTAACGAATGACTTGTTGTTCTATTAACAAAAACACCAGAGCGATAAAGAGTCTAGACTCCACAGAGAGAATCTAAACGATAAGACAATGGCAATCGTAAATAATATGAGTACACGGAGGGTTAACAAGCTGTCCGTACAATTGCTTGACTACTTGAGTGATTACAAACATCTTCGGAAAATGACTAACAACAACAAAAACAGAACACTATGTATGTGATAAAGACTAGGCATAGAACGTACAAATTTTGCATGGAGGTTTGGATGTTAAATAAAAAATGTGACGAATATTTATCAAACAAAGAGCAAACAACAAATACACGTACTAGTAACAACAACAACAACAACAACAACAACGAAGATGATGATGAATGGTATGCAGTGAAGCGAGTTGAATAAGACAGTATGAAAAAAAATCTATACACAATTGCTGACACTTGTCCCAACACCTACATACAAAAGCGAATGTCAATACGAATTAGGAAACACTATGTGCATACATTTGTATGTATGGATGGATGTATGTACATATGTATATATGCATATATGTACATGAGCAAATGTAGATCAGTCTTGCGGTCTAATTGACGGCTCCCGCGTATGTCGGCGCAAGAGAACTTTTCTTACATATGTATAACCATAAAGGTGGTTATGAGTACTGACAGATGGGGATGCGAGTACTTACATACATATGTACACATATATTGGTCTACCTGTAGCGCTATTGAAACAAACCAAAACTAAATTTTGCATGGAGGGTAAGTAGCTACAATTTTAAAAAAAATAAATATATATATATACATACATATATATGTACACAATCAGGAGAGGTTCAGTTGATTTCGGGTCCCCAGACGTATAGGCCAAGTGAAAGGCTGGAATACGCGCGATGGATCATGAACTCTTTTTATTTGTATATATGTATTTATGTATGAAGGCTTTACTAGCGAATCTTGAGGCAGTACCAGAAAGCCCCAATTAGTACCGAGATCTAGAGGAACAAGTCTATTAAGCTCGCTGATCTACATCCAAATAACATCCTTGCAGAGTAATAAAAGGGCTGTTTTCAAGGCGTTTCTTGCGAAAACAGGTTGTGAATGGAAGGGTTCTCAGTGTTTTAGTGACTGGTAGAAGCACGGAAGTAGCTCTGGCCAAGGCAGATGGACTTATAAGCTTCTTCCCGACTTGATTGATTGGATGGAGTGAAGTTACAGAGGCAGCGATTCAGTTCTTACACAGTTTGTGGTATTTTCCATGATGCTCAGAGTGTAAAAAATATGCGAGCCATGCAATTTTCGCTGTCCAAGATAATGATCATATAAAAGACCACCACACTATGACCACAAAGTCACTGTCAGATCGGCTGGAGCAGTGTCTTAGCGCTTTCAATCAGCAGTCAAAAATGGTAAAATAGAGACTAGGTCTCGCCAGTTACCTGACTACTTTGCGTACCATAATAAGGAAGAGTCAATATGCTCAGCAGCGCCGCGTGGTAATATCTGAGTGGTAGTTCTACGGAGAATGTGGTTGTTAGCGGAGAGGTGTTTGGTACGTACATGTAGTTGTGGGGTTGAAAGTCGTACTTTTCATCCCGAAAAAACACTGTATCGATCCAGTTATACTGAAACAACACGACATTCAAAGAGGTCTGATCGACAAGAAATACTCCTCTGAATTGGGAGAGAGGATAAAGTTTCGTTGATGAAATTTTATGGTGTGAAATTTTTTTTTAAATTATCAGAAATAAAACTAAAGATTGTTGGCGAGTTTTCAAAAGCATGTGATATTTCACATGGATAATCTGCTACCAAAAGCTGAGGTTCTGTAGAAAACTTATTCAAAAATTTTGAATAACTGCTTTTAGCCTTACAACCAACATTTCTTCTATTTTATAGGTCATTGGTTTATTGGACAGTCACACAATCCAAATCGTTCTGCACCTATGTTTTGAACGGAGTGTTTTCGCACATAACTACCCAGCGTTTCTTTCTCTCAAAAGAGCTCCTAATGCCAAGTCAATTGCCTACTACGTTCAAAGGAGCACCTGTTGTCAAGAGTAGCACCTGCATCGGATCGGAAACTAACATCTTTTTTATTTTTATTTTTGATCACAGTAGATATTTCGCCTTTTCCTCGCTCTTTATCAAACTCATTCAAAGAAAGCAGAACTCAATGCAATCATATCTGTACCTTCAGCAGACTCCAAAATTTGAAAGCTGCTCTATTCAAATTCTGCAGCTCGTCCTAATATTTTCCAGCATTAAATTGAAGATAAAGAAACACCTTGCCTAAAGCCTCGACTCGTAGAAGCGTTTCCCAATTCTGGCAGAGCTCAGGTTCTAGAGAAATTTTTACGTAACCGTTGTAAACTTCACGGCTTAAACTACCCAAACCGAACAGGAACTAAGATATAGTAGAGTTAAGACTTAAAAGGCGTGCTTATTCATGTGAAACAAGTCAGCGGTCCCTTCAAAGCTCCTAGTCCCACTAACACCATATATCATTAGACACATACCCGTACGTTGCGCGTAGTCTACAAAGCAGGTAAGTACACACACGCTCCGCATTAATAAATTTGCGGTTACGTTTATATGTATGTACTAAAAAATATCTAGATACTACGTTTATTTTTATTTTTTTTTATTTTTTCTTTTTTTTTTGCACTATAGACTATAAATGTTATACTCAAAAAAGTCGTTGAAAGCAGCGACAACGAATCAGTTGACATTTGACAGCGCTTGCGAACGGTACGCTAAAAGCTCTCAACGCGGCGGTTTTGAAAAGTATAAGTAAGATCGAGAAAAAAAAAACAAAACAAAAGCATAATACAAGTGTTTAGTTGGAAATATAATTTTTGAAAAAAATTAAAGTAATTAAAAAAATAAAATAAAAATAATTAAATAAATAAATAAAAATTATTAAGTGAATAAAATAAAAATAATTAAGTGAATAAAATAAAAATATTTTAATAAATATAACATAAGTAAACAATGGAAAATGCATTGAAATTTTAAGCATAATTTTATTTTAGTGCAGCGACTGGAGCTGGTGTATTGTTTTCAAGAAAATTATAAAGAAATAAATTATAATAATAACTATAATAATAAAAATAATAATAATAATAATAATAATAATAATAATAATAATAATAATAATAATAATAATAAAAAATAAAATTATTATTATTATTATTATAATAACTAGTAATAACAATTCCAAAAGTAGCTAAAGTGTTTAATAATAAAAACAATAAAAACAAATTGTCTCGACCACCCCCATTCAATTCCGTGCTCACCGCACGTGCGGCGCTCTAGTTCGCTTATACGCCCAGCTTATTTGCTCGCGCATAGTCGCATAACTACTACTAATCGCTTGATGAATATATTATACATACATACATATATATAATAATAACTACAACTATTCATTCACTAGTGATTTTATTAAATGCAAAGTGAAGTGATCGTGTCGCATTTGTTCAACACCACCACATTGTTGTTGGGTGCTATATGTATATGCAGAAATTTAAATAGTTGCGCACCCGGCAGCTAATTTAATCAAATTATATACACACATATATACGTAGCTGTGATATTTGTATTGCGCTCAATCGTGTGACATTTTATAGATTTTTCTCTACTTTTTCTCAACAATAAAAAAAATGCAACAAATTCATGTAAATTAGTGGCTAATGCAAATAATTAAATTATAAAGTGGTATGTCGTGCGAAAAATTGTGTTGTAATTGTAATTACTCATTAAAATCAATAAAATTTGTATAGAATTTTAAACGCCTATAATGAAATGGCATTTAACCCCACAAAGCGTGGCAGTTTTTAAAGACAGTCCGCATTGAAATTCTTATCCATTTTGCGGTATCGAAAATAAACGAATACGAAATTGCTTTTCTATTATAAAGTTTGACATTATATGTATGTGAAATACGACATCATTCATACGACCGCCCCGCGAATTTTCGAAAAATTCCAACCGTTTGAGCTAAATTTCGATCACTTTTTAGCACACATTGGGCGATATCTCAACCACTACCTGATGAATGTTGGTTTTCAAATGCTCGAGAGTTAAATCGGGTTAAACCGTAAATACGATTCTTCATGTAATCTAAAAAAAAAAAAGTTTAACCGTATCCCATTGATATGCCCGAAACGTGAGAGTGCGCGATACGGAAATTTCTCTCACGATAAATCCATACGAGTTTTCGCACATGTCGTGTGACATGTGGCAGCCTCTTGTTGAAAGCACTAAGCTAAGTCGTGTTCTTCAATTGGAGAACAATAAAGTCCGTTATCATACGGTCATGACTCTGAATTGTCTGTGCTTTTCAAAGACGTAAGGTTCAATCACATCTCCGGACCAAAGAGTGCACAAGACAGGAAGTGTTTTTGGGTGTAATGTTCGCTCTTCAATTGAGGATTCTTGGAACTCAAAATGTGACGATTTTGTTTATTTACTTATCATATGAGTGGGAAATGTGTCTCGTCGCTGAAGAAAATGGACGTGTGTACAGCATTGTGAATGTTCAGCTGGATTCAGTTCTTGTGTGAGCTGAAATTTATAAGGATCTGGATGTAAGTTCAAGAGCAAGTAGGTCCAGCTCTTGAGAATGCCGAAAAATAGACACATTCGGGTCTTTGGCTACACTTCCACTTACAGTAGTGATAATAGTATTGGAACAAGGAAAACAATTTTGCACAGGTCTTACAATATTTGTAACCGATCCAGTGTCTTTCTTTAAAATTTTACCAAATTCGTTAGCAGTTGAAGAGTTATGTGCACCATAATCTGTTTCATAGCACGAAATGTGGCCACGTTTAAATCAGCATTTTCTTGTAGGGCTTGGGCTTATCAATAATAACGCGTTTTAACTAAAACAAAACATTTTTGCCTTGACAGTTGAGTTTGACAGATATCAAAATACAGCATGAAAGTTTGAAATGGAATCTATATAAAAATGCTTATTTGTATGTTTGTTTCTAGTGATCTCTGAAACTACCCCACAGTTTATACTGAAAATTTGTCAGTATTTTTTATGGTTCCCTGAACGGTTTGGACGGGAAGTGGACCAGGGACCGAACTATTCGAAACGAATTTATTTATGGTTCAATTTACAAAAACGATACTCCTCTCTCCAGGATCTGGGCCAGGGAGAAAGCTATTTGAAAAGTCGTATCTGTAGCTTTTTTTTACTCGAAATTCTTTAATATAGAAAGGCCGATCTTTTTGAATAAAATATACATATTCAAGGTTCGGTTTGATTAATTTTCTGGATGCGGTGTCTAAATGGAATGCTTTCGTTTCTTGGAAATGGACCAGAGACATAGAACCATATTCGACTTGCTCGAAACATAAATAATGTTTTTTTTAACGAGAAAGGAATCAACGAAAAATTTACAAAAGTTATTATGATTTTGATAAGAGCATAGATCGTGCGAAGTTTTAATGTTCGCTGCACGTGGTTATTATTATGTGCAGTTGCAGATTGCAAGCTATTCTTATACGCTCAACTTGAGTGTGTATGATCATATTGGTGTGATTGGCTGATCTCGAGGCGTTTATATAGAAATTTTTGTGCCTGTCCAACATCCAAAAATTGTAGAAAATAACGTCAAGTAAAAACAAAGTTAAGTTAATTTTTATGTTGTTGTTGTTGTAACCGCAACGAAAGTACTTTTTGGGGAATGTTGCGGGAGTGACAGTGCTTGGCCGTCCCGACCCAACTGTCGCGGGAACTTTTGGAATTTAGTCGCCTCTTACGACAAGCATGCCTTACCGCGGGTAAATTTTTGAACCCCTAACCCGCAGGGGGGAAGTAACTTCTCTAATTGCGTTCGCCTCTAGATGAAACATGTCAAGCCCTCTAAGTGTATTTATGACATGAAAATCAGCAGCTTCTCATAAAATATCAGCCATTCGGAAGCGGCTTATCATAAACTGTACATTCCTCCGTTTGTTGAGAAACATCAGATGCACACCACAGATTCGAGGAGGAGCCCTTTCGAAAATCGCTTCAGCGGTGCAAATCGTTAATTATGTATCTATGTTCTCAACAATTATATTAAAAAAATTCAAACTAAACCTACAAGTTTAATCAAATCAAGACTTAGTCACTTTTTAGTTGAAATAAAGTTACAGGAAGAACATTAAATTAATTTTCTTTTAATTTCGAATTTAATGGTTTCGATTTTTTTTTTTTTTTGTTAGTAACTGAGACTCAGAAAAATAATAATAATAGACTAAATTTCAAAGTATAAACCAATAAATAACTATAAAAAAAAATTGGCTTATTAATTAAAATTCGGTCGGTCAATTATTAAATTATTATATAAAACTATAATAAAATAATAATATATTTTTTATTTAAATAACTTAACATATTAATAATGCGAAACTATTAAATAATGATCATGCAAGCGCTCAAAGCAACAAACGAATACTATTTAAAAATATATGTATGGCGGTTTTACAACAAAAAAAAAACTTTGATTTATTTATTAAGTGATATTAATCATTATTGAATCACGTTTTGCACCAACGCGCGTTAACAATTGTTTGTTATTGTAATTAGCCTATAATACTCACATCAACATTTACATATATTCAATTTACATGTTTATTATAAGCTAAACAACAACAAGAGCAACTGAAATTTTATACAGCCATTAATGTGGGAAAAAAACATTTTTAATATTTTAAATAGAGATTTGTACAGATATTAATATCAAACAAAATCATATATATTCTGCAATATATGTATGTGTAGTGACTACAATTAATTAAAAAAAAAAAAATATTGTATAATATTTAAACAGCTAAACATATAGGAATTCTTCGCGCTGCTAAACTTGTTTCTGAATTTTTTTTTAGCTTCTCTTATTTAATTAAATACATAAAAAACGAACGCGTGCTAGTTGGTAGAGAGTTAATATTTTGTTGTTGTAGTTTTCAATTTCACATTTTTTTTATTTATTTTATTTTTTTTAGTTTTTCTTTTTTTATTGGCGCTGGCACCGCTTAGCCGAATTAATATTGGAAATACCAAGTGAAACCAGGTCGCTCTCCACCTGATCCCTCCAACGGAGCGGAGGTCTTCCTCTTCTTCTGCTTCCACCAACCGGTACTACATCGAATAGTTTCAAAGTTGGGGTGCTTTCATCTATTCGAACGCCATGGTCTAGCGATCATAAACGCTGTCTCTTCATTCACTGATGTGTGAATATCATCGTATAACTCGTACAGAAAGAGAGAGAGTGAGAGAGGACTTTACTTTTTGATTGCCTACTCAGTGTTGGATTTCAAGACTGGCATTATTATTGTTGTTTATCTTGGTCCCTAGCAAGTCAAATTCACACACGGTAGTAGCAAGAATACAAAAACAAAAAGCCTGTGTATTTTGTTTGTGTAATCATAGTTTCGAAAAGTCAAAACCTAAAATTTTTCAATGTATTTTGTTTGTGTAACAGAAAGTTCGTAATGCCAAAACCAATATTTCCTGTATTTTGTTGTTGAAATGGAGGGGAGAATAAGCAATCATATGATCTGACAACTTCACCTTCTATAAATTCGCCTTGGTCCCTAGATAGTCGAAATTATCTACGATTTCAAAGTTATGAGTGTCAGCAGTGACATGAGAGCCAAGTCGCGAATGAGATGACCGTTTTTTGAGGACAACAGATGTTTCCTCTTGCCCTCGTTTACTGCCATGCCCATTCGCTTTGCTTCCATAACTATTCTGGTAAAGGCAGAGCTCAACGCGCGGTTGTTGAGGCCAA